GACTCCAAGAATACTTTACATCATCGTTACCATTAGGTGCCCCTGGATGAAAAATCTTTCCCATACCAATAGTGAGGTAACCATTTTCTTTAAAATACTGAGGGATTGTAGTAGCATTGGTAGCATCAGGTACAGTGCGCCAATACTCATCACCAGCAATCCTCCAGACATGATTAGAGTCTGCCCTTCGTCCTGTCAATAGAGATGTCCTAGATGGTGAGCATACAGCTACCTGACAGTAAGCTCGCTCAAAGAGTATAGACTTTGAGGCAAGATCATCAATGTGTGGACTCTTGATAAAATCATGACCATAGGCTCCTAGTTCTGGTCGTAGATCATCAATAGCAAAGAACAATACATTCTTATGTTGTTGTGCACTGGTACAATAACTAATAATAGAAAGAAAAAAGATTAGCCACTTCATCCTGACCAATGAGTCCCACCCAAATATAATATTATTCATATCAATTTTGAGAAAATTCATTCAACACATGACAATCATTTTACAATAGAATACTAATACTATAACTTATTCATTAATACCAATAGGCAAATAAAAAAATGTAGATTTATACGTATTGATTTAATTGGTATTTACAAGTAGCTTCGTAGAAATAAAATAAATTATTGCATGGGCATACCCCATATCCTTAAATAAAAGCCGGGGGGGGGGGTACATAATAAAAAGTACGTGGATCATCTGGGTTAAATTATTCATTAAAAACATATAATATAACTTCTTTTGAGGAGAAAAAGAATTATGTAGTCTATAGACTTACAGTTAGAAGTACATGTAATAACTCTGTCCAGATATTGCTACAGCAGACTTGCTTAATTTCTTTCATACATGTACACATGTACGTGTAATCGTGTACGTTAGTTGACAAAACTATAAATACAAAAAATTAATATAGATGTAATAACGTTGTGTGACTATAATTAGTACTGCTTGTAAGACTGGACTGAAAGACAAACATTCTAATATTAACTAGTACATGTAGCAGCAGCACAGCAACCTAGCTCAGACCAAAACAAATGGTAAAGTTTAGGATAATTAGGAAACACACTATTAGATATTAACAGTGCCTATTAAGTTAACAATAAACAACATTCCTTGTGTACAATATTACTTCCTACAGTACACAAACAATATTAAGTACATACAAACATGCACATCACTTGCATGGTCTCTTCCTAAATGTTGCAAATAGTCACTGTAGAATAGCACAATACCCACTGGTAGTTTTATGAGATCCTGGAGCCCCTTTTGAAAATTAGCATCATCAACGATGAGTCTTTATAAATATTAATACTTCTGACTTCTTATATACTCAATAGTACAGTGCCCGTTGATCTAGTGCCATCACTGATAGATGCTTCATTGATGTAATAAAGACAAGAAAGACATAATATACATGTAAAGGATTCAAATTAAAAAAATAAAATCAAAATTTGAAAGTCAAACCTTAAACTCTAAACTCACTTGATCACTCGATGCTTGCACTGCACCCTGGACAACATTTGTGTTGTTTTCATTTAAATTTTCAGTAATTCAATGGAGTAAAAAAGTAACTTCACTAACAATACTAGATCCCTGTAATATGGAAGAAAACAACACAATAACATAGTAGTTTATTTTGCTAGCCAGCATTATATTACGGCTAGAGCATGTAACAGCACAGCAATTAAACAGCATAAATATTTTCACGACATTTCAGCATAAAATTATTTTTGTTAGATAGTAGGCGGTAAAGCAGCTCTCCAGCCTTCATGTAATGCTTTACGTAATTCAGTCACAGT